ACCGTAAGGGCTCGGAGGTCTCCTCCGGAGGTTGACGGAGGTAGAGATCGAGCTCATCCCTCCGGGGTGGGGTCTGCCGGCGCCGGCTATTAACCCACTGCCGGAAGTGACTGTCGTCATCATCTCGAGCCCCGGGGTTAACGGCAAGGCCTCCGCGCTGCCCTCTGTGGCCGGAGATACTCTCTTCCGGGCTGTTCTGCCGATACCACTTATCATAGTACTCTGTGAGGGATTTCTGAGCCTTGTCGACCCATCCCTCTTGGTGGTCATCACTCCATACATCTCGTAAGTATGAGATCCCATATGACGGATGGAGAATGATCGCACCAGAGAACAGTGGTGACTCCCCTAACTTGTCATAGTAGTAAAAAAGCTTTTGCCACGACTGCTCAATACTACTACGGAGGAAGGATTGCCACTTCTCGTCGAGAGAGTCGAATCGTGAGGCGGCTCGTGAGGCTGAAGATGCCCAGTCTTCACGCACGTGATCTGGGAGGGCCTGGTGGTTATACCGACGACGACGGGGCCTTCCGGATCGGGTTTGAGATGGCTGCGAGCCCTCAAAAGGATCGTCAACTAGAGGAGAAATCGTGGAGTTGTAGTAGGTCTTCCAGTCGACGAGATGCGAAAGGAGGTACTCTAAACCCATAGTGACCTCCCACAGTCGACCATGCCCATCCTTAACCCCCCAGCCCTCACACCTCTTCGTCTGGCGATATTAAGGCTCCAGGATCATTTCCATCTCGGCAAGAACCTTCCAGTCGTCGGAAGACAGTAGATCCGCTTCCGGTATATGCTGTTTGACGTCGTCGTCGTCGTTATTCGATAGTATAAAAGCCTGGATCTCATTCTTCTTCTTGATGGCTCTCTCGATCATGAGATACGTACTGTTCCAGCGAGTGTCGTTATTAGTCGCGTTGTCGGAAATGTTACTCCGATCCGGTTCCGGATCTTATATCGACTGACGACGTTAAGGAGGGTCTCCGAGAGGGTAATACCGCTATGATCTCCATGGTGTTGAGAGAAGCCTAGGAGGCGTGACCGTAACGTGCCGTTGGCATCGATGAAGTGACACGTGACGCCCATAAAGGCGTAAATATTGGGCGACGACCATAGATCGAATGACAGGTGTATTTTCGATACCGCTAGGTGGAGCTCCGTCGTCACGAGACCCTCTCCGCGCCGGCAGAAGTCTTGGTGACGGTCCCGAATAGACGTATAACCCCATGGGACCTCGTTGGCGACCTCGTTACTATGGTACCGTAAGATCTGTTGGAGGAAGTTGTTCTCAAAGTGGGTAAAAGGGAGGTCGGCGGAGACAATGGAGGCAACGCAGAGATCCCTTAGAGTCGTGATCTTAGCCTTGGGAATATTACTGTTGTTGAGGCGCACCCTCTTATATGGAGGAGGGGTCGATGGGTCTGATGAGGAGGGTTGGGTGTCAGCGTCAGAATCCTCATCTGAGAGGGTTGAGATCTTGCAGATGCGATGGGCACTTCAGCCTCGTTAGAGTAGACTTTATATGAGCAGGAAGCTTAGGATAACATACCGAACTAAGTGCTCTTGCGCAGCAGTAGTGGCAGCAGCGCCAAATACCCTAGGGGACCCCTTTAAGTCGCATCGTCGGCAACTCCAAAAGGAGGGCCCAGCCTGGCCCTGAATAACCTCAACAAGGAAGTCGCCATGATCTCGAATCCAGCTGGATCGACCCCGGCCTTTCAGCCGAGCTAATTGCTGCTCGAGGATGTACCTCTTACTGCCCACGACGATGTGATATAGGTCGTTAATCGTGGGATTCGGAGGGATACGGACAGTGAGGGCCATCTCGATCTGCGTAGAGATCCGCAGGCGCGGGGCGCCTAGGACCGCATACGCGTTGGCGGAGGAGGAGGAGGCAACAGCAACAGTAGACATCGTGAAGCTCAGTAAGGTAATAGGGGTAAATGATGAGGGTGATGTGTGATAATACAAATCTTTTCCAAATAACGTCCGATCATAACGTTAAATAAACCGTTCGAATCACTATGATCTTATCTACCTGTCATAAACCTTTCAGGAAGATCCGCCTTCGTCTGGTATGGTGAGGGTAGTCTGAATAACCTCCATAACATATGTGATGGCGAGGTTGGCAATATATATAGCGGATATCCTAGCCGACGATCAAGAGCTACGGTTTGGCTATGCGGATGAAATAGGCTTAGTAGCTACTAGCCCGTCGCTAGAAGGAAATGCTATAGCCCTAGGCCAAAAGATCACTCATATCCTTAACTGGGGCACTGAGAACAAGGTTGCTTTTGACCCAGCTAAGTGTGAGGCAGTCCACTTCAGCAGGAAATATAACCAGACAAAAGACCTACCAGATATACAGGCGACGGGCCTAACTATTAAGGCCTCAACTAAGCCTGTACGATGGCTAGGAGTCTGGTTCGACAAGAGACTCACCTTCCGTCACCATGTCGAAACTAAGGTGGCAGCGGCAAAGAAGGTAGCCCAGTTCCTTCGGCACCTAACAAATACCAAAGGGGGACTCCCAGCAGCCGCAGTACGAAAAGCGGTTATTGCCTGTGTCCTTCCAACAGCCTTGTATGGAGTTGAGACCTGGTATGCGGGCCTAACCAAACCAGCCCTAAACAGCGGCACCAATACTAGCAGTAGCACTGCTTTACAGATACCTACAGTTGGTACAGGACAGAAGGGCCTGGCCCGTAGACTTAGCAAAGTTATTACAGCAGCAGCAAGGGCTATCCTGCCTGTCTGGAGAACCACACCGACCAGTAGCCTCGTCCGAGACGCTGGCCTTCCCACAGCAGAGGTAGCCCTCGAAGCAGCGCGACTATGCTTCGCTATACGCCTGCAGAAGGTTGACCAACAGCATCCCTTGGTCCCAAGGCTGCTGCAGTCAGGGCGGCAACAGACCAGGCTTCAAAAAACAGCTGGCCTTTTACCTAAGTGTCCAAGGCCAGCGCTCCTACAGCCGCAATACCTCCCAGGGTCCTATGACCCTATAGTTACACAGACGAAGGAAGTAGCAGCTAGGATCTTCCAGGCCTGGCTCAAGACTGTGCCAGGTCAGCATACAGTCGTATACTCAGACGGCTCCAAAGCTCCTGACGGAGCTACAGGGTACGGCTTTGTTATCTACCGCAATAATAAACGTATAGCCCAGGGCTGCGGCCGTCTCGGCTTAGCAGAAGTGTTTGATGGTGAGGCGGAGGGGGCGAGGGCTGGGCTCCGACGGCCCCTTCAGACCTCCCAAGGCCAGCCTATACACATATGCATCGACAATACCAGCGTTATTCAGGGGATTGGCGGTAAGGTCCCAGACTCCTCCTCACAAGCGGCCTTCCTTGAGATCCAGGAGGTAGCTAGGATACACGATATACAAACCCATTGGTCTCCTGGGCACCAAGGTATTAAAGGAAACGAAGAAGCAGACAGCCTAGCTAAGGAGGGAACAACTCTACCAGTCCTTAGGGACCAACTAGCTACTCTATCAGGTATCAAGTGGCTTGCTAAAGAGCGGTCAAGACGCCAATATAGACGATGGTGGAAACAAGAGGCAACTCCCCGCTATACCCAACTAGGGCTCAAGGCTACCCTTGCTTGCCCTCCTGAACTTGGCCTCCCTAGGGCTGCCCTTCATCACCTCCTCGCGGCACGGTCAGGCCACGGGGACTTTAAACAATATCACCAACGCTTTAACCACACAGAAGCACTATTCACCTGCTCCTGTGGGTGGGTTAAGGAGGCAGACCATCTAGTCTACTGCCGAAAGACCCTACTGAGGAGGCAACAGTGGCCCACCCTCTACCCCTACAGCCGCCAGGAGCCCGTAGGACCTATAGGGCCCCTCGATTTCTACTTCAAGGGGCTAATCACTGACTCTGAAGGCTTCCAGGCCTTCCTCTGCGTGACAGACTTCTTCCAGAAGATCTGCCCGCGGTACTAGGAGATAGGTCATAACCTATCCTCCAAACGACAGACTACCTCTAATAAGAAACCAGATGGTTATAACGGAACTAGGGCACCAGTGGGAACTAGGGATGGATAGAACACATAGTAGCTCACGAGCAAGATTTGGAGGACGTCAGGATACGGCGTGTACTATATGGTATATAGCTAGAGCCTGCGACCCTTCACGCCACATACCCCCCGGGAGGTCTGCCGCAAGGGCGGCTGCGCCCTTGCCGCCATGGCGTTAAATAGAACAACATATACGGTAAGATAGGCCATAATACGCGAACGTGTTCTAAAGATAGTGTTGGTTCACGGGGTCGTATACGACAAATAGTGGTAGCAATTATCACTCGTCTGTTGGTGATCCTATTGCTTGTTCTTCTTCTTGTTCTATCTTACATTGTAGGCAGGAGTCGGTCGAAGTAGGTAGTGACGGCCTGGGTGGTTGCCCCACCTTTATCCGGCCGTGATGACTAAGCCAGTTGTCCCACTTCGCCCAGGCCAGGTGCCAGCCAGCCCATGGTACCTGCCTATTACTCCTTATCAGCCTTTGCTGTTCCAACAGATAGAGAATCGTCTAGTGACTTGGATACCGATAAAAACTAATTGAATTTTTACGTTCTAGTTAGTTATATAAACTTATAAGATGTTTGCGATGTCGGGAAAACTGCGCGGCTGACTGGTAAAGTACGTTATATCTATTATAGCCAGATATATATAGCAAACGAATATACCAGATTCTTCTGGGATTTATTTGGCGAAGGGGGGCGCCGATCAGTATGCTGACTGGACATTACCCCTCACAAGTTGTACTGTAGTCCACTGGCACCCGATGGGATACAACGGCACCTACTTCATCTCAGAATATTTTCAATGCTTGCCTCGACGCCTCTTCCGCCGTGCCTTGCATTGTGTAGCACAAAAAGATCGCCGTCTTCCATGCCGAACTTTTCATTTTTGCGAGCTGCTCGAGTTGGAGAACATACGGACCGACTCGGTTCAATTTTGACCTACTTCCGCAAAGTCCGTCAATCCCTCTTGCTGGTTACAGCTCACTGGTAGGAATTCAAGGTGTCAAATGGGAACCGATGATAGTTTTCACAAGTCCCTCCTGCACATCACTTCCTCGTCAGAGTTTGTTCGAATGCATCTCAACAACGTAGTATCTTGATTCGACGCTCGATCCTTGAATATCTAGCCAACCAGACTCCGCACGCAAAACCATAAAGCTCTAGCCGACAACCCGCATCAGCAGTGCCACCCCCTTGTTCAAGTGCATCCGTCCGCCGAAACTAGTAGGTGTCTACCAGCGAGCGTGTAAACAACAAAAACTACGTTTGTAGTTGATTTGATTTGAGTGCATTATAAATCCAGCCGCTACGAATGCGCCCTTCCCTCTAAACAACAGGTGGAACAGCCAAATTTGAGGGAATCCTGCCCGCAGAGCCACCGGCCACATTCTTGGCAGGAACGTTCATTTGTGAGCCCATGGCGGCCATCTTGTACGCTTGCACGTCGGCATCAGCCTTACTGGTAGGTTGTTAGTGCTGACAAAATTCCAGAGTGGGACGTTTGGGGCTTTCTCACGGGTTGATGATCATAACCATGCCAAGCTGACAGTGCATGCCTTGAGCGCAGTACATGAGCATTGGCTCAGTGTTCTCAACCTGTACGTTGAAGGTGCCGACCGGAGAGCCGTCTGTGACGCCCGGGATGAAACCAGAGTGAACGGCATTCGGCATCATATCTTGCAGAGGATTGCACGGGGCCTGGGGGTTCGCGGCCTGGGTAACTGTGTGGTTGTTGGGCCAGAACTGGAACTGGACAATGTCGCCGGGGTTTGCCTTCACGACCTCGGGGTAGAACAGCAGAGACTTCTCACGGGTCGGGCTACCGACGACAACGGGGATGACCTTGGGAGTCGGGGGCGCGGGGCCCGGTGCAGGCGGGGCCTGACGCTCTATCGAATACGTGAGTCACAAGCTACCTTACGACGTAACAAAGTTCCGTATGAGTTGGAAATGCTCACCATTGAGAGCGGCAGCTAAGGAGCCTCCCACAAAGGCGGAGAGATAGACGGCGATGGTGCTGAACTTCATCTTGATTCCTTTGATCCTCGATGATCGTGTACGGACTAATACTGGCTGATTCGGCTGAGACGATGAGACGACGAGACGACGAGACGCTGCTTCGATACGATGACACTGATAACACTGCAGAGAATAATAACCAACAAGAGGAGAGCAGAGGACCCTAAGATATTTAAGCTAACTACCACTACCTGCAGAATCTCAAACTAACTGCACATTCGGGACATGCACGGCGACACCACTTGCCCACCAATACGAACCTTTTCTCTCTTAACCTTCCGCACTGGGCAAACTTCTCCCGATCATGAGACCGAGTAGACTTAAAATTACAGAGTTAGAGTGGTCGAGTTGCCGTGACGAGCAGGGGTAGCAGGGAAGCTTGGGCATATTAAAAGATGAGATGACCCGAGTTGTCCAATGAGAGGTGTCAGGTGCCCCAAACGTGACATGTTTCGTTTCTTCGGCCGCACTGCATACCGAAGAGTGCTTAGAAATTCGCACTAAGGAATAAAGGGGGGAATAAACATTGACTCAAAGAGGGGGGAATACGATCTTGCGCTTCTTGGATAGGTGGGGAGAGGTCGGTCAATCAAGAAGCTGTCTCCTCGTGTCAGGTCCTTTCGGCGTTGGGACGACAATATCTAGCAAGGGAGCGAAGTTGCGGGCAACGCTTAACCTTGCCAGTGAGCCGGTAGTCGGCTGGCTGGTATGAAGTGTAGTGTTTCTTTTACGATTACCAAGCCAAAGCTCGCAAACGGATGAAACGGTTGCGGAGTCGTTTCGAAAGATTGAAAGAAGCGTGGGCCCCGATCTGGCTCCCTCGTCCCCCCTTGACCGTGGGGGATCTCCGAGCAATGAAAGCTGGCGCTGGCGGGAGATCGGCACAAAACGGTTAATAGTTTGCACATCTTAATGGGGAGTTTGCGGATCTTGGGATTTGTTTCTTCGTCGCGCGCGCGAGACGGATTGAGTACTGACGCTCGACGTCACGAAAGCTCTTACGCTGAAAACATCGGGAGATCGATGTCAAAGGGTACGTGCACATGTCCTGATCGTGTCACTTACGATTCTGTTGCCCTATTCGAGAACAGACCTTGCCCACTCTCCACTGCCTGTAAGAATTCCTTCGCAATTCTTTCCAACTTGCAGCCTAATTACGTAAAGTATGAACACATTCTTATTTGCTACCGACAGTTCCGGATTGGATAGCTCTATTTCTCCGCGTCCCCGTCTCTTTTCGTCTGACCCTGAGTCTGGCCGTCCTTCTTCGGCTTATCCTTCTTAACGCTCTTCCACTCAATAAAAACACACCCGAAGAACGTCAAACATCCGAGGACGGTGGCAATCAGAAACACGTTCTGGAGAGCCTTGTTGTAGGCTCCGACGATGCCGTCGACCGAATCCGGGTAGATCCTCCGCATCGACTCCACCAGTCCGGAACCGCCCGCGTCAATGACGACTGCCGGGTTTACCTTAGGGACGTTTCGGTTCAACTCGGAGATAAGTCGCGAGTGGAGGATGTTCTGAGCGACGGCCAAAAATACGGTACCGCCGAGACTTTGCAGGAAGATCAAGAGAGACGTTGCCAGGGCTACGTCACGACCTTGGAACACGGTCTGAACTGCTATCAACGTTTGTTGCCCGCCCAGACCCACGTCTACTCCCAAAAGGATGAGTGAGGCAATCCTGAAGCGGTTGTTAGCATTTTGGGAGCACTGAAACTACGTGACGAGGTGTAAAGTTACCAAAAGCCTGAATTCGTGTTTTCGTTAAACGAGTAGCTTAACCCCGTTCCAACAGAGGTTATAACAGATGAGGCGATGAGTTGCGGAACGTAGTATCCGATGTGACTTGTCTAGCAACCGGTCAGCATCACGGCTTGGCTTTCTGGGCTTGTGTCGTACTGTTAGCTTACCAGGAATCCAGAAAGAATTGTCGCCACCGACAAAGAAACAGATGATGCCAACAAGTCTTTACCACTCTGATAGGCGGAGTGGTTCTTGATAGCCTGCAACCAGATAGGGAAATAGTAGACTTCGATGAAGAGGAGTGAGAACAGAAGAAGCATAAGCCAGCAAGCACAGGCCATTGACCTCTGGAAGAGGATGCGGAACGGGACGGTGGCTTTGTCGCCCTCACGGTACTGGACAAACGCCCATGAGAGGAAGCAGACCGCAAAGAGGCACCAGCACAGGATGATGCGCCAGCTGCTCCAGGGATATTCGGTTCCGCCCCACTGCAGGGCGAGGAGGAGACAAATGATCCAAGGAATAAGAAGCAATGTTCCAACCAGGTCAAAGTTTGAAATAAACTCTCGTACGCTTTGTGTCTCCTTCTTCGGCGGCGCCGGCAGCTTCAGGAGGAAGAGGACAACCAGGAAGGTGACACCGCCGAGAGGAAGATTGATCCAGAAGCACCATCCTGCTTTCCGTCAGTGTCTAGTTACATACCAATGATGATGATGAGAAAGAAGTCTTACTCCAAGTAGCCTTATCAACAAAGACGCCGCCAAGAGTCGGCACTATGCACTGAGAGATTCCGCCCGCTGCGCCGACTGCCGCGGTGAACTGCGGGCGTCGGTGGAGAGGCACGCTTCTAGCCAAGATCTGAGTCGCGATTGAATTAGTCAACAGGGCTCTAGAGAAATCAGGAAATCAAATCCTTCCGGGGAAGACTTACAATGAGAGCACCGGACATGAGTCCGGCTGCACCGACTCCGGAAATGGCTCGGCCGACAATGAGAACAACGGAGCTCGGAGCCACGGCGCAGACAATGGACCCCACCTCGAAGATGAAGAGAGCAACAAGGAAGACCCATTTGGCGTTGAACTCGGCGTACAATTTACCGAAGAAGAGCTGGAACGAACACATGGTGAAGAGGTAGGCGGAGCCGTACCACGCTACATCCGGCAGAGACTTAAATTCGGATGTGATTACCGGAATTGCGGTTCCCAAGATTGAGCGATCCTGGATTTGTGCGGATGCTATTAGCGATGTGCTGCAGTGACGGGAAGATTGAACACTGAAGTAATAAAGTAAGTTGAACTTACAAGTCCGAAGCACAAAACGGCAAGGAATAAGCCGATTGTGATTATGGCTAGGCTCGCACCAGTAGGATACTCTTCTGCAGCCGCATCTTGGATTGGGGTGGTCTTCTCTAATTCGGCGACGCTGAACTTCTCTCCACTTGTTCGTGGTATGGAGTGTGAGGTTGTTGTTCTAGGGTCAATGTTAGCTCATCCGCCCCAACTCCCGTCTCCGCAGTCACCAACAGCTGTAGTGAGAAGTCACCTTGTTTCAACAGGCATCTTCGCTAATTGTATCAATGAAGTTGGTGAAATAGAGTGAGGAGTGTTGCGTGTTTGATTATCTGAATGTCAAATGTTTCCTCCATCTAGGCACGGATATTTTAAGTACAGCTATCCCTCATGATTGTAGAGATATCTGCTGCCTTTGGATCTTTGACCATTCGCACTTGCAGATCCCACATCACGATACCGGTCCGTACGGAGAATAGCACGGGAGACAAGTCAAAGTCAGCATGCCAAGCAGGGTATAGCGCAAGTAGCTACGCAGGAACGAAAACCACATATTCTTCAGGCCTAATCGTCTTACATGCAGAAATTCCATCCAAAGTCCCAAATGCTGTGCCGATGAAGGCTGGGGGTCCTGCACACAGGCAACAGTGTCAGGGTCATTTGTGCTTACAGTGGATACTAAGCCGCAAGAGAAGCAATGTCTTTGGACGCTGGCGGCCGCCCTTCACGAAGGAGCTTGGGCCAGAGCAGCAGTTTTGGTACGAAGGATCGGAGGTCGGAACTCATAATAGCCTCCGATGCCGTCCTGTATGGAAATGAAGCAGCCAATCAAGTAGCTCCCTTTCATCCCGATTATCCCTATACGGATCTTAAGAGTCCACCGGCCCCCGGAATCATCCATACCGTCCGTTCCATCACTCTCGAGCTCTCCCGTTCGACCTAGCCCCAACATTGCCAGGTAGTTCACGCCTAAGCAAAGCGATCTTACCTTTTTTCAAATTTTCTATCTCCATCTTCTGAGACACGAGTGCTCCGTAAATATTTTGAGGCTCAGGTTTATTGCTGGGAAAGATCACAAACAATGTCGCCAAACGATGACGCCAACAGCCCCGACTTTGCGCATAGTCACGCAAAGAAGTCCCGAGCTTGCACCAATTGCGCTCGCCTCAAGATACGGTGCCGGTGGCAACCGGGTTCGGAACATAGCGAACACGCCGACTGCATCCGGTGAGCATGTCTGCCTTTATTGGTGACAGTTGTGCCTATCGATCAGAGTCCACTGACAGCGTTGGTGTGCCAAGCTGCTCCCGCATGAGCATACGATGCCAGGTACCGGAGCCGGTCCCGAGGAAGAAAAGGGGAAAGTCAAGGTCAGTCTAGAAACTCGGAGAATCCATCTTGGAGCGTGTCTTGTTGCGTTCTGCTCTTTGAGTTAGCTGCAGATCACCCGGCCCTCCTTCTTGCTTCTACCTACCGGGGTCTTTGAGCGGAACATGACGCTAAATGATCACTCCGTAGCCGTGTCACTGAGCTGGAGAAGAAAATAGATGGCCTGGTTAGCCTTTTCCAAACACAACAGCAGTCAGGAGAGACCCAAGGGCAGCCGGCAACCGGCCCCATTCCTAGTAGCGAAGACCCGCGATTGATGCCATGCACTGGGTTGACTATCCCAGGCGTCACCCATCAAGTAAGCACGGACGCATCTCCGAGTGTTGACAGTTCAGCTGGTGCCCAGGACTGTCATTCTATGCCGACTTCAGAGGCTGGCTTTCCCAGCGGGTCCTATCAGCTCTTGCCTGGGTTCACCATCACTGCTGAGAAAGCTGAGGAGTACCTTTCCATCTACCGGACGCGTCTGGTTCCCAACTTTCCGTTTGTGCCCATCGAGCCCGAGGTCACGGCAAGAGACCTCCACAACCAGAAGCGGTTCCTGTTCTGGTGTATTATGCAAGCCATTGTACCTCAAACAGCCACAGTACAGAAGGCAGTTGATGACTGGGTCCGCAAACATGCCGCTATGCAAATTATAGTTCATAAGGAGAAGAAGATTGAGCTGCTCCAAGGCTTGATTGTCTATGTTGCCTGGTAAGTGATGCTTTTCTGTCAAGCTTCAACCAAACCATCGCATAATACTGTGGCTCCTGGTCCGTTCCGCAGTCGAAGTGCAGTTATCTAACGTAGTTGTGTCTCACAGGGGTGATGTCCACCTGCAGATGGGTATCAATGCCAACACCCTCCTCCAACTGGCCATCGGTCTGGTTATGGATATGATCATGTACACTCTAGCGGGCCCCGTAAGTTGGATGCCGAAAACCTTGTTGAATGATGCGTGGGCAGTCTTGGGACGGGGAGGAAAGCAGTTCGAAGCACCAAAGCCAACTCTTGAGGAGCAAAGAGCGATTCTAGGCGGCTACTTCATTGCGTCAAGGTGATCTCCCTTACGCCCGTATCTGCTATAGCGAAGCGTGGAGCGACACTGACATCCTTCACCAGTGTTCCTGCCGCCATAAGGAGACACTCGCAGATACAGTACACGCCCCAGATCACGAGATGTTCCAAGGCCATTCGAGAGGCAGACGCTTTACCAACAGATCAGAATCTCCTTGCCCTCGTGCGCATGCAACATTTAGGTGACCGGGTTCGTGCCATCTTTCCGAGCCCAGACAGAGAGGAGGGGGAGCCTCTCCCCATCTTCCGGGAACATTTTAGTGCGGTGATAGCATCACTCCGCAAGGAGATCTGCGCTCTCGAGTCAGAAGAACCAGGTATCAAGAAAGAGAATCGTAAGTAAATTACTGAGTTACAAGGAGGCAACCCGACGGCTAGCTATACTAACCTAGAACGTCGTCTAGCAATGATCTGGGCACACTATGGCGCACTGATGGTTAGACTATACGAGCCGAGCATCGGCATGCGGGGAGCCAGCCCCTCGGAGGCCATGTCCGCCATGGAACCGTTCAGCAGGACCGAGTCACTCTGGTTCTGCCTACAGGCAATTCAGATCGCCATAGACGCGCTCCTCGCCATCCCTGCCGAGGCCTTTGCGTATCTCCCCTTCAACACCGTCGCGGATATAGCACATACAATGATGTCCTCGCACAGGTTGCTTCTAGAAGACTCGGCAAGCGACTGGGACGTGATGCTGGCGCGCCAGAAGCTCGACCTCCCCGGTATAGCGCGGCGGTTGGCTGATCGATTCGAGGAGGCGGATAACGTGGCGCTGATCGTTGGGCAAAAGAGGCGAATATTCGAGGACGAGAGCTCGCGTTGGGCGAATTATGCGTACCGGGCGAGGTGGATCCGTCAGTGGTACCTGAATAAGGTTGTTGGGCAGCCGCCTCAGGAGCAGATAGCGACGGAGCACCAGCAGGAGCAGGAGCAGCATCAGCAACGGCAGCAAGCGCAGATGGTTCCTCCCGAGGGGATGATGACGGAACCGAACATGTCTTGGCTCGGGGGCGTGGCGATGGACCAGTCGTTTTGGGAGATTATGATGCTGGATGGACCTGGGCAGATAAGTCAACCTACCCACTTTTCGCCATCCCCCCCTTTTCGCCACCCCAATCAACATGGTCTCAAAACATCACCACCAACTTCCAGTCAATTAATTAACTACCTTCCACTACCACTACAATACAGTCACTGCCCTCACTAGGTAATTCGATCCTTGCGAATCGACTAGGACTAATGAGACGGTCGCTAATATCCTCCTAAGCTCTCTTTATATCCCTAATATTCGCGAACTTAGTATTAGGATCTATTTAGACGGCTCTCTTCCTCCTTAAAGCTATATAGTTAATTCGGGCCTAGAGCTAACGGGTTCTATTGTTACGCCCGCCGCAACTTGTCACTGTGGGCGCGTAGCTATATAATGCAGAACAAGGGACAATGATGCCGGAGTCATCATTATCGAAGCTTTTGCTTTGTGCCACAGTTGGTTGCCTTGTCCTGCTCGTAACACCGTAATACTTTAATTACTCCTATTTAGTAAATTAACTCGCCGAAGCTACTAATAATAAGAACGACGATGTCTTCTAAAGCCACCCTATTCACCTCTTTTAACGACTCTAATGTTACGACCCAACATGCATGATCAAGAACAGGGCCTGCCCCGCAGGCTCGCGGCGGTTACAACACACCACATATGCAGGAGACAAGTGATGATGATGATGATGATGATGTATTTAACGTCTGGTAACAAAAGGACGTGCCGGGCGCTATGCCGACATGGTCTATACTAATCTAAACTATGTTACAGGCTACCGTCTTTACCTAACGTTCCTATTTAATGACTCGGGTAAATTTCGGAAAAGAAATTGGTCTCCTCTATCCATTCGCATTGAAGAGAGGCTCCCTTAGCAGAACCTAACAAGAAATCAATGCTTGCTTTGGCCATACGTTGGCGGAGGTAGCGCGGTGTAGCCTTGCGTCCACGCTTGCAGAAGTAGAAATGGACTGGTGTCTTGGGTTTCCCACAGCTACAGTTGAGCAACGCATCTTGATAAGCGAATCTCTCGTGGTATACTGCAAAGTCTCCATAATGGGATCTTACTACGTATAGCCTTCCTAGTAAGTGCCGAGGGAGGCGGAGTTCGGGCGGCTTAGGGTAAAGAATTATCTCGAGGTCGGCATATTACCGAGGGCATTGGGACAGCCATTTTCTGGCAAAGGCTTGGAAGGTAGCTACTTTAGCTTGCCTTTCTAGGTGCGCTAATAGGGCTGTGGTTGTGATTTTGGGATTAGTTTACAGGCTTCCTTAGCTAGAGCATCCGCTTCTTCATTTCCTGGTACTCCCGTGTGCCCAGGGCACCACCAAACATAAACCCTGCCGGGGGTTGTCCAGCTCTCTCTTTGTCTCCGAGTCCAGGAGGAAGAGAGCCTATTGAAGGCCCTAAATCTAGCCTGGCTGCTTCCTGTGCTCTGGGAGTATAGTCTAGCCGCGACTGCGAGGTTGTCGAGGCAGATGTGGACGTTATCTGCCATACGAGCCGTAGGAGCCCGGGTGGCTTCCATCAGGCCGTGATACGCAGCATGTGCCTCCGCGTCATACACCTCAGTTTGGGAGCCGAGTGGTTCGGATCCGCGGAAGATCTGCCGTGTAGCTTGGTACCCTACCCAGCCTGCTCCGGCGGAGGTGCTGCTGCCGTCCGACATCTGGGACCCGTCAGTGTAGACAACAATGTCCCGCTTGGAGAAAGTTGCCATCCTGCCTGCAAAGGAGAGGGCCTGTTCTTCTTTGGTCTTATTAGGTTCGTAGCCGACCCTGGCGA